GCAATCCTACATTATATTAGCTTTTGTAACTCATCATGTTCTCTTCTCTCCTCCTATTTATCCAATAGAGTCCAGCAAGTACAACCTAATGGTAACTTATCTGACTGCTTGTCCGCTCTTCATGGTGTCCCTCAAGGTAGCATTTTAGGTCCTTTACTGTACACAATTTATACGTAATTTTTTGCATACGAATTTATCGCATTGTAAATATCTCTTATGTGCTGTACTACCTTTTGATCCATCTGCCATCGAAGATTCGGTTAGTAAATTAAATGAAGATCTCTCTGTAATTGAGTCCATATCTAATAAACATGATTTGCAAATAAATGCCAAAAGGTCTTGTGTTCTTGTCTTTTGTAGTAACATTCAAAAAAATTTAATTTTACCCCAGGTAAAATAAGTAATAGGATCTGAAATCATTAAAATCAATGATTCTTGCAAAAATATCGTTTTAATCATTAATTCTAAACTTAAATTCGATAAGCATATTAATGCAAAAATTCAAAAAACCTATCATTGTGACACGGTCTACGGTCCATTTCTGCGTCAAATTAATAAAAATAGAATTCAAAAAGTACAGAATGGCTGTCTTTGTTTGATTTATGGTATAAGGAGAAGACATAGAATTTCACCAAAACTAAAAGTTGCAAAGTGGCTTAATATGTATAATCGGCGCAGGTTACATTCTTTGTGTTTATTTTACAAAATTTTAAAAACTGAAACACCCGAGTATTTGTGTAATAAAATTAGGTTTAGAACTGATATCCACAATATTAATTTAAGAAAAAGAAATAGTATTACTATACCCTCCCACAATATATAAAAAATCGTTCACCTATCAAATTGGCCAAATTGGCCAAATTGCCATTTCTGGCCATCCACTAGATATACCTAGATTCAATCTGTCTGTAACTGGGTTTAAAAATAAATACAAAAACATAATTTTTATTTTTATTTTTCTTTCTATAAAAATAAGCATCATACTTGGTTTCACATTTGCGACTATAATTTTTTTTTTATTATTTTTTTACGCTTATTTATGTGGATGGAAGACGTACTTTGTTGTATAATTCAGGTAGAAGACGACATTTTCTAATAGTTTTATGTTCATATCAACGTGTGCACCAAGTTTCATCCATGCGAAAATGATTTTTTTTTATAATTTTTTTACTGGAATTGCAACCTAACCCCCTGTCGTACAACTGAAATGGAAGACGATGATTTTACTATTAGATGCTATTTAAATAACTCATATTTAAAAAATAAAGCTTGCGAAAATGGTTTATTGAAATCTGTCGTTACCTCCCGGACCATTAGCACTTTCATATGTAGTAGTCCGCAGTCGCAACCTTAATGGTAAAAACCTCTTGCGGTTATTTATGATTGTTGGTCGTATAATGGTCCTGGTTGCTCCAGTATCTACCAATAGTGTGTACTGTCTACCATTTACTTCACGTCTAAGGCTATCAATATAAGATCTTTGAAAAGGTCCGGGTCGAAGCTGCCCCCTCTAGGTAAACTTGATTCAGTTGTCCTGCGGCAGGTTTGCACAAACTGTGTACATCTCCCAGTTCATTGCAATTCCAGCACATAATGGTCTTTATTTTCATGTTCTTTTCAGTAAAAGGCTCTTCATATTTTAACCAATTGGCTGAGTTTATCTTCCTTTTCTTCCTCTTTTACAGTCCTCACTTTATTGTATCTAGCCGAAGCCTGCGTAGCTACCTCATACTTTAGAGCAACAGACAAAACATCGACCAATATTTTGTGATGGGCTAAACGGAGTGTTTTCTGCATGTCATGGTCACGCAATCCATTAACAAATTTTTATACTACTAGACATTCCATCATATTTTCTGAAGCTGATGGATAAGCAAAGCGTACCAACCGTATTCTTGAAGAGTCTCGTATCGCTTCTGTTAACGATTTTGTAGCTGTTCTTGATACAAATGCACCAAGTGTTCGTGGCCATATCATATGTTTAGTATCTTTTTAAATTAATCGAAATCATCCATCTCTTTCACAAGTGTAGTCTGAAGAGCATCTAAAGCGTCTCTTCGAAGAGCGACGGTCAGATTTACTTCTTTTCTCTTTCATACTATTCGTTCGATCTGACAGCTGTTTGGAACTGTTTAAGGCAGTTGGTTCATGACATATTCCTGTCAAAAGTTAAAGCTTTAACACGGGCAGAGTTTAGAATTTCTTCCAAGTTTAGCTTTGACTCCACATCATGGCACTTTATTCACCGTCCTTGGCCTGTTCTGTTTTCTCTATTTATTCTATCTTCTTTTTAATTTCTTGTATTTTCTCTTCAACGGAAGACATTATCTTCTCCTCAACGAAGAAGAAATTTAATTTTTCATAGAAGTCATGTCAGAAGAGTTTTCATGTTTTAAAGAGGTGATTTTGTTTTCCAAATCGAAAGACATATCAGTTTTTTTAGAAGATATATCAGAAGATACTTGGGTTTCTAAGAAGGAAATATCAGAAGAAATTTTAGTTTCTAAGAGGTAAATATTAGAAGAAATTTTAGTTTCCATTGAAGAAACATCAGAAGAAATTTTATATTCTAAGGAAGAAATATCAGATGAAAGTCTATTTTTCAAAGAAGAGATCTTGCTTTCCACATCAGAAGAAAATGAAGAAATTATAGAAGATGCATCATTCGAAAATAGATACGTTTCCGGATTCAAATATTCACTTTCTTTTGCTTTTGAACATTTAGTTGTTTCCTCACAAATTAGGCAATTTTCCAAGGAAACATGCAAATGTACTCAAAAATTTATCATCTCTTGTGGTATTATCCTTGTCAATTAACGTATATCTGCTTGATATTAATTTCGTTATTAGGTTTAAATTAAGCGTTTTCTAATAATAATAATAATAATAATAATAATAATAATAATAATAATAATAATAATAATAATAATAATAATAATAATAATAATAATAATAATAATAATAATAATAATAATAATAATAATAATAATAATAATAATAATAATAATAATAATAATAATAATAATAATAATAATAATAATAATAATAATAATAATAATAATAATAATAATAATAATAATAATAATAATAATAATAATAATAATAATAATAATAATAATAATAATAATAATAATAATAATAATAATAATAATAATAATAATAATAATAATAATAATAATAATAATAATAATAATAATAATAATAATAATAATAATAATAATAATAATAATAAAATAGTGAAAAATTCGATTTTTCTTACCTAGCACTTTTGGTCACTAGAGAGTCCAGTTACTAATTATTTTTTTTCAAACTGTTGGAAGTAGATTATAATAAAAAATACTACGAGGAACGCAACTGGTAACTATATATTTTTTTTATTATTTCCTAATTATTACTTATAGGTAAAAAAATACTTAAATTTAAGTACTGTCAAGTGGGGTAACTGCGGACAAATTTTAAAGTTTTTTCAGGACAGGAAAAAAGTAAGAGGTGAAAAAATTAATTTATGTTCTTCAATATTTCCTTTATGTATTATACAAAAAAGTTGTAAAAAGTAAGGAAAATATTTTTTTTATTTAAACAAATAGTGTCCAAATTTTCCCGCTCAGGTGGAGTAACTTTGAACTTAAATTTTAACTATAAACTTGATCAAAATGTAGTTTATACCTTCGTTTAGTAAAACAAATGGTTATTTTGATCAATTTTATTCGTATTTAGGATATACACATGTTATAAATTCAAATAATTCACATTTCCTATTTGTTTATAGTGACCTTTATGGCAAAATTACGCCACAACAACGGGTTTACAATTTGTTTGCAGGTTGGAACTACACTGACCACATTTACAATACTCAACATGTTTAGTTTATCATTACAAGATGACGGTATCAATGAATTTGACTTTACGCCCGCTTGTCCGAAATTACCATTACTATCCGAAGTTACCCCACTTGACGGTACTTAAGTACAAGTATTAGAACTAATACACCTTACATGTTCAAGTACTAGTACCTCTACGAGTTTTAGGTGTTATTGAACTAAAATATTTAAGTACATATTTTAATATAAGATAATAAAGATAAAAATAAGAAATAAAACTCAAAGCCAGTGTCACCGTTTTACTCATAAAAACGACTACTTCTTTAGCTAATACCGAAACAGGCACTGAATTATATCCAAAGGAAAACAGCAGAGATAGAAAATAATTTTATTTCTAAGGACGTCATACTTGGACTGGTTTCGTCCTTATTAAAACATCTCGATTTCAGTCTTTAATGAAATCTACAAAGGCAATAAATTCACTCACCTACATGTATGGAAGTTGCAAAAGAATAGAAAGTTACGCAATAAAAATGGTAACGCCGTCTGAATTTTGTATTTTTAATGTGTAACAGTACAACATGCAGATGGCCTTACCATTTTTATTGTGCTACTACTTATTATCGCGCAAACTCCATCCATCTAGGTAAGTGAATTTATTGCCTTTGTAGATTTGATTAGAGATTAAAATCAAGATGTCTTTTTCTTGCTGAGGACTAAACCGGTCCAAGAATGACGTTCCCTTAGAATGCAAAATGAAAGGTAGAGTATTGAAATTAAATTTATATATTTGCTGCTTTCCTTTGGATATAATTCAATACTTGTTGCGGTATTAGCCAAAGGAGAAGTTGTTGTCCTAAGTGAAACCGTCGTTCGTATTATTGACACTGACTTTGAGTTTAATTACTAAATTATTTTATTTTACGTCTTCGTCACATTTGAGTTGGAAATATTTCCTTATTAGCATATTTTAATACTTTCGGTAATCAGTACCGCAGCTATATTAAACTGATTATTTCGTTTTAATCTATAGATCATGATTGTCTTAAAATTTCCTTCAACTAGAATAATTCTGATATTTTATACAATTATATTATGTAGGTAATATTGATTAGGTAGGTTATGAGTAAAAACATCAGTTTATTTCTATATAGATATACAATAGTTATTGTTACAAAATTATAAAAGTGTCGCATCGCTAGCTAAAGAATTAACGTTTTCGTTCACTTCATCTTCAGATTCGTCGAAATATTCATCATCGCCGGTATATTCTTGAACAGATTTGTTACATGATTTCGTAAAAGCTACTTTATAATATTTATTTAGTTTTGCTAATAGTACAATAACGATTATGGGACTTCCATACGCTAAATATTCTGGTATAAAAAATGTCAATATTATAAATAATCTGAAGGTATATGCTCTATAAAACCACCCTTCACAAAAATGATAAATATACAGTGGTAACCAAGTCAATATCATAACGGTCGCAATGGTAAGCGAATACATTTTTTTGTTGGACGGATTCTTAACCTTACTTTTCAAACAATTACAAACCAAAACGAAGATAACAAGACAAAAATATAATATACCATCTAGTAAAATGGTTATTACATAATTCAAATTATAACATATGATTACGTTTAAAAGCAGAAATAGAGAACAAATACCATATATAATTAAAATAGAGTAGTCCAATATTTTAAGAATAAACTGCTTAACAATTGAATTGTAATACACTGTTATTATCCATTCTGAAGTAAGCGCTAAGCAACAAAGGAACATACCCACTATGTATACATCTTCTATTTGTCTACCTAAACAATAAAAATGCCAAGAGAAGAACCTCCAAAGACCAAAAATTTCTACACTGATTTCAAAAAACGGTAAACTAATAAATTGTAATATATTGAATATCGCGTAATGCATCACGTATTTATTGGTTTTAGTTTCTTTCAGTTTTTTGTTTCTACAAATGATTATTATCAAATATATGTCAATGATGATAACTCCTATGCACAGGAAGAATTTTATGATGTCCATGATGTTTCGGAACGTCGAAGTTTGTCTCATAATACGATAATATTTATCCGATTCTGACTCTTCAATCACCTCAAACGGATCATCAAGTACGTCCAGGCTAGTATTACCAAACATATCGAAGGGGCTGCTCGTCATTTTCTGAATTTAGTGGTCGATACCTACAGCTTCGTGTCGACTGAAAAAAAAAAAAAGAATAAAAGTAACATTTTTGTTTGTGAAAGGAGATAAATACGAGCCCTAAGAACTGTGTTTTTTAGTCTTCCCAATTTGAAAATCAAGTCACATACTCTCTACCTAACATAAAGTCTAATCGGAAGTTTTTTTCGCATAAACTACATAATAACATAACAAACATTTATTAATTTTGTCGAAAAATAAATATTCGGGCGCACTTCAATTTTATGACATAAATCGAACATTTTATCCCTTTTTACGTTAATAACGGTTTCTATCCGTTTTGGCATAGAATCTACTTATGTCTTGCAATATTCTGAGGCCAAAGTATTCCAATTTATGTTAATCTGGCTTTTAATGTACGCTAAGAATAGTTACGCAAATACTTCTTCCGCTGATGCCATATAGGACAAAGACATTCAAGTCCACGACCACGATGCTACGGTAATACTTTTACATAATGGTCCCCAAATCACCTTATTTGTCGTTTTAGCAGTGTGGCAGAACGCACCGTCTTGTTGAACTATAACACTTTAATTTGAAAAATTTATTTTGCTTTTGGAATCAAGTTTCTTGATATGTTGGTATTTTTATATATTTACAAAACTGTTACTGAACTCATATTATTCAACCCATTTACTATACTTATACATCCTCATATCATGACCAGACCATCCTGGGTTAATTTTATAATACACTTTAGGCAATCGTGATGAAGGTTTCAGATTTCTTACGAATTACTCGTCGCTTTACATTTCCGGTATATTTTGGATTGGGCAAAATCCAATTATCCTGAAAACGGAAAGGTCGAGTAATGTTATTTTCAGCGACGAAACAAAATTTTATGTATGAATAGGTGATTCTTACAAAAATCTGAAATTTCGAGTTATAATATGGGAATGTATGAGTAGTAAATGATTTGGCAAATACGTGTTCATTACTAGGGGTGCAAAAATAATTTCCATTATTTCGTAGGGGTAATATTGAGATTTGTTTGGGGATTTATTTAAATGAAACTATTTCACCCCCGAATTTTGGAATACTTTAGTAGATTTCATGCCATAATACAGAGGCAATTATTGATGCAACATGTAATGTTGCTTCCTGTTGGTTGTTCAAATTGTCTTGCGAGCTAGTTTTAACCAGTCCGGCCTTGATCTTTGTTTAGCCTATCGTCGGTTCGTTGCAGAGGATATCTGTCTTTTTGGGTAACGTTGTTTAACTGAAGCTAGTCCACACAGAACCTGATAGTTCCATTTTTTCTGGACCAAGACTACCGGAGAAACCCATGGACCGGCAGAAGGTTTAATCACTCTGTCTTCCCCTATTTTACAAACAATCCTTTCAGCTTCCTTTCCCTTGGCCTTTGGTAATCTTTGAGCTGATTGATTAATCGGCCTGACGTCACCATTGTCAATTTTATGTCTTATAACATAAATTCTTCCTGTTTTTCCTTTTCCTCCCATTGGTAGAAATTTCTATATTATTCTCTTCTATAAATGTTTCAGAGATTGACCAGCAAGTGCAATCATTTCCTCGAATATGTCATATAAAACTATGCTCGATAGCTTTAAGATTAAATCTCTTTTACAAAGAAGAAACCAACAGGCTGTGATATATTTTGTACTCTATTTTAAATAAAGTACAAAGATTGTTATTTGATTGACCATATAAATTATAATGTGGCAAAGATTAATCGCATTAATCGAAGAATCCCAAGTAACAAAAACTAAATTATTTAGTTTAGATCCAAGTAGTATATCTCCTTTTAACAAGATGATGGCTGTTACCAATAAGTTACTTACGAGGTCCAAATAATGTTAGCCTAAGAAAGTTGAGGACTGTACTAAATTACGGTTTGTTTTGTTTTTGTTTTTAAATTTCTTGCTACTTAACTCTACGTGTAACCACTATTAATTTTTTATAGTATCCAATAAATAAATTATACCTTATGGCTGCTTTCAAACAATTCTGTGTGTAGTCACTTAGCCTAAAGTCAATTTTAAATTAGTGAGTTTAATAAGAATATGTATTGTGTCTATGAATTTGCTACTGTGTATAGTAAATGGCCAATATACATAACTTTGATATTTTTATTACAAGTGTAAAAACTACGAAAACCATATATATATATATATATATATATATATATATATATATATATATATATATATATATATATATATATATATATATATATATATATATATATATATATATATATATATATATATTTCCCATTTTTAAATAAATTCAAATTAATTCATAATAAAAAGTAACGATTTTCGTCTGCCATACTTGAACTCATTTACAAAAACAAGTCACTGAGTATATATTTGTAAAAAAAATACTACACTAAATACGTCTCCGTTATAAATTTTTATATTTAAAACTACATACTTTCCTATAGATTTTGCAGTACCTTAATACCTAAATAACGTATAGAATAAATTTCTACAATATACTAGAAAAGTTTTAGATTAGAGCAATTCTTAAGAAATAAAGCAAATCCTTTATTTTGTTATTCTAACCTTGTGTTCTATATTTCCCTTGATAAACTAACGTTATATTTTGAACTAAACGTAATTAAACTTGTCACTAAAAAGTAATATTTCACATATACAGGGTGTTTCCGAATTTGGCGTCCAAATTTATAGGGGTGGTAGTTCGTATAATTTGAGACCGATTCGCAGATTTCATTTTTCCAAAATATTTAAAATAAAAATAATTAAAAATTAATTAAAACTTATAAACAGGTACGGTCCTGCACAGCGATGGAACTCCTCGACTCGCGCGCGCTATGCTTAGAATCGACAACATTGCAAATCGCATGTTTTTGAGGACTATTGCGCTACGCGCTCAGGGTAGGACCTGCTCTTTGATTTTTTTTATAATGGCTCTATTTTGTTTATTATAATTTTTTTAGAAAAATAAAATCTGCCAATCGCTCTCAAATTATGCGAACTACCACCCCTACAAATTTGGATGCCAAGTTCGGAAACACCCTGTATAAAAAAAATTTAAAACGGTTCTGCCCTGATATCTAATAGATTTTCTTCTTCAAAGTAATTAAGTTGTTCAACCGTTGTCCAAAGGTATCTCACATCTCGTTCATACACACGAATTTGAAAAGCAGCAGAACAAAAATTCAACTAATCAGGTATACCCTCAGATGAATAAGTAAACTATCTTGATAAGTAATTATAATCTTTTAGCACAGGGTTTGTTTTGTCGGAACTCAGATGTCGGAACACTATCAAACCAAAGGAGAGGCGAGGTGAAAGGGAGGTTGTTTACATCACATAGGCGTATCATAAATTTATTTTAATATGATAGGAATATTATTGAGACTTAATATTTTTTAATTTGGGTATTTTTATTATTATAAAATGTATAGGCTTATATTTGTTGATTTAAAATAAACAAAAATAACCTTTCTAAATCTTTATTTAAATATAATATAAATTGGTTTACAATATACACGGTAGATACTATAAATGGATCGAAGATATACTTCTATTTTATGTACTATTATAAAACGAGGATATTTAATAGATCAATACGTGACGTGAGGTATTATGGTGCAAAGAATTTTTTATAAATGGCCTTAGTCTGACCAAATAAGTTTGTTACCTGGTCTTTTTATAAATGTTTGTAAGTGCACAACCATGCATTTTACATGATTCCATAATCCTACTGTTACAGTATTAACAGCATCTACCTAGGTAGATAGTTCCTTGATAGTTATTGATCTAGGCATTATTGTTAATACCACAATATCTTTTAACAACCACATATCCATAGTATGCAAAGCCCTCAGAATGCTTGGCTTTATCAAGAGACATACTAGGTACGTGAATAATACAAAAGCAATCATGACACTTTGCAATGGCCTGGAATACTGTTTTATTTTGCAACCTACTTACACCTGTTATATCAATATAATTAAAAGGGCGCAACATAAATTCGTATAATACCTGTTCTTTAAACACCGAATTCATAGCCATAACACATGTTATTAAATAAGATTATTGCTTTGTGGCATGCATAGCCTGGAATGCAGAAGAAAGCAAATATAGAAAACGCAGGCTTTACTTCTATTCCTGTCTAAATTAGTAGGTGGTTCTATCACTACTTGAAAGAGTTTAACTATTGGTTCCTGTCCGACGGACTGAACACAAATCACTTTTGAATGTAAAAAGACACAGAACCAATTACGGACAAAGGGGTCTATTCTGTAACAATTCCTTTATATTTAACGGCCTTTAAAAATATTGGCGGCCTTTAAAAATAGTTTCTTATTCGTTAATTTACTTCTATCATTATTTAAACAGATTTCTTTAAGATAGTCCTCTAATGTATTTTAAAGATCCGTTTAAATAATGACGGAAGTAAAGGAGAAAATATTTTTAAAGGCCGTTAAATATAAAGGAATTGTTACAGAATAGACCCCAAAGTACGTTTAATTTTAATATTTTAGCGCTAAAAAGCGACTTGCAACTCCTGAGCGTCTAAGTTATATTGTGTGTTGTAGTGTTTTTCCTTTTTTAAATATTTTATATTTTTTTGTCGCACTACAGTTGTTTATGTTAGGTTAGATATTCTACTATTTAGAAATTATTTTCTGTAAGTGCTACGTAAATAAATAATTAGGTAGGGGAGAGTGTTCTACAGTGAAACACTTTCTTAATTTTTTTTCTTGAATCTACATACAAAACCAGAATCCCACTTTTATCAAAAATTTTAATTAACACTACATTTACCTTTAAAATAAAATATCAAAATTAGATGCAAATGTGATTTGTTTTTTTGCAATTTAAAAAAAAACTGTATTTTGTTTCACTATGGAACACTAGTGGGATACAATGAAACGGCAGAAACAAACAATTAAAAATAGGTTTTTATTTTTTACAAAAATAAAAATGAAAACACTGCAAATTAAAGTAAACTATTAACTCAAT